ACACCCTCTAGTATCTATAATTATAGGTCACCATATAGCCTTCACAAATGAGTAAAACTCATCCCGAATAGGCCCCGAAAGGCAAAATGATTGAATGCTTATCCCCGATTTGAATTGTGAACTTGCGGAAGTTTTTTTTTCCAATCAAATAATATTAATAAGCAAAACAGACTATCGTCCTGAATGTTCGTGTAATATTTGCAGATGGACCTTGGTCATCAATTCTAATCATCTTAGATTACCAACCTTTCAAAACTTAAAAGTAAAGATCATGCACCCTTATTATTGAGATTGATAAGGGGTTTTCCATTCGTCGACATTATCTCCGATTTAAATACTATTGATCTGATAACCGCTGTCAGTGTATACCTTAACGACCGGGCTAGTTTTCTTATCAGCTAAGTAGTAACCTCCCTTGTTAATGTGATGTTGTAATCAATCTATATATTTTTACCATCTTTATATAATATTTCATTGTATAATTTTAATTTGTGATTCATTTAATATTTAAATATAATAATTTATTTTTTATTATAGATAAAAACAAGGAAATTTGAAAGTCTTTGGTTCATTAATCACCTTATTTCAATTCATATGTCAGGCGGTCTATTTTGTCTACATTAAGTTGTAAGAACACCGGGGACGTTGCGCACGATGTTGGTACGAATTCCATTTTGCTATAGATTATAGCATGAAAATAAATACGTAGACTGGTCAGTTCGATAAAAATATAGTGATTTCTGGTTGAATTTATTACATTAGACTTGAAAATAAAGAAAAAAAGGAACCGAAATTTAAAATATCAAGAATTATAACACTTAATTATCCCATTTTTACGCAAAAACGTAATGTCCAACGTTACATTCTGTGTGCAAAAGATCAGACTTCCGTTTCTTTCCAACGGTATTTTTTTTTCTGATCATCGTAAAACTTCACAAGAGTATTGCTATTGTTATTGTTATTCGCGTGTTAAAGCAAAATCAATATCACTGAAACCGTAAACCGGAAAATATTATTTTTGAAAACGGTCTGAAAAATGTCCAAGCATATGCAAGGTAAGCATATATCGGGTTTGCGCATTTATACCGTGAAATTGGAAAAGCTGTGAGGAAAAATATTTATGATATTTTGAAAGTTTTTTCACTTTTATTGTTGTCCGATGATTTTGTAGTGAAAGAAAAATATTAAGCAGGTAATTTTCCCCCAAAATTGTACCGATTGAACGCTTGGTTTTACTTCTTTAGCTTGCTCTTACCTGACTTGGTACCATGATGTCCAAGGTAACCAGTCGACAAATTATATAATCCGGAGTCAAAAACCGGTAATATGAAAATAGTCTATTGATGTCATGCTCGGGTTTTTAATTTTATATCATAATTATTTGTTTCCAGTTCAATTCGAATGAAAATAAAAATATAAGTTATAATATAACCAATAAAATTGAGAATGGAAATGGGGAATGTGTCAAAGAGACAACAACCCGACCACAGAACAGACAACAGCAGAAGGTCACCAACAGGTCTTCAACGCAGCGAGAAATTCCCGCACCCGGAGGCGTTCTTCAGCTGGCCCCTAAACAAATAAATATACTAGTTCAGTGATAATGAACGCCATACTAAACTCCAAATTGTACACAAGAAACTAAAATTAAAAATAATACAAGACTGACAAAGGCTAGAGGCTCCTGACTTGGAACAGGCGCAAAAATGCGGCGGGGTTAAACATGTTTATGAGATCTCAACCCTCCCCCTATACCTCTAGCCAATGTAGAAAAGTAAACGCATAACAATACGCACATTAAAATTCAGTTCAAGAGAAGTCCGAGTCTGATGTCAGAAGATGTAACCAAAGAAAATAAACAAAATGACAATAATACATAAATAACAACAGACTACTAGCAGTTAACTGACATGCCAGCTCCAGACTTCAATTAAACTGATTGAAAGATTATGTCTTCATCATATGAATATCAGGAACAATCCTTCCCGTTAGGGGTTTAGTATCATACCATCATAACATATATGAGAAGAACATAACCCGTGTCATGCCAACAACTGGTTTTTAAATAAATGTGTTTAGTGCCGATGCAAAGACCCTATAAGTGAATCAATATTAACGCCAAAATATGCAATCTTTAATGACCTGACAACAGTATCGTAACTATATCCCTTCTTAATAAGTCTATTTAAAGGTTTTGTTAGCTTCAGAGGTGAATACTGACATTTTTGTGCTTTATAAAGAATATTTCCATAAAAAATTGGATATGAAATACCTGAACGTATAAGAAGTCTGCATGTTGAGCTATATTTACGAATGATGTCCTTATACCGATGATAAAATTTAGTAAATGTTTTGACTAGTTTGTGATATCGAAAACCCTGGTGTAATAATTTTTCAGTAATACATAAATTTCTCTCGTTAAAATCTAAAACATTGTTACATACACGAGCGAATCGTACAAGTTGAGATATATAAACACCGTAAGATGGTGACAAGGGAACGTCACCATCTAAAAATGGATAATTAACGATAGGAAATGAAAAATCATCTCTTATATCATATATTTTAGTATTAAGCTTTCCGTTAATGATATAGATATCAAGATCGAGGAAAGGGCAGTGGTCATTGTTAGTATTAGCTTTATTTAAAGTAAGTTCAACAGGATAAATATCTTTAGTATACATACTGAAGTCGTCATTATTGAGAGCCAAAATATCATCCAAATATCTAAAAGTATTATTAAATTTGTGTATCAGATGTTGTTTCGATGGGTCTTTGCTGATTTTTGTCATAAATTGTAACTCATAGCAATACAAAAAAAGGTCCGCAATAAGTGGTGCACAGTTAGTCCCCATTGGAATTCCGATAACCTGACGATATACGGAATCTCCAAAGCGAACAAAAATGTTATCTAGTAAAAATTCAAGGGCATATATAGTATCAAAGCATGTCCAATTGACATAGTTTTTTTGTTTATTGCTACTAAAAAATGACCTAAAAGAGTTTGAACATATATATTCACATTCTGACTTTTTAAATGCCCATTTAATTAGGTGTGTGAATTTTTTCTTAATGAGAATGTGAGGCAATGTGGTATATAGGGTAGAAAAATCAAAACTTTGAACAGATTCAAAATCACCAATATATGCATGCAATTTATCAAGTACTTCCAACGAGCTCTCAATGTATGATAAAGGAAAAGTTTAAGTTTAAATTCAAATGTTGACCAAATGAGATTGATATAAAAAATATCGGGATCTTAGTTTTTTTTTCAGCACATTCATGACATTTGTTTTATTCAAGGAACGTTGTCTATCTGCAAATTTTAAATCATCAAAAGCAAAATGCATATTTTTTTTGTTAATAAAATTTAATAGAGAAAAACCATTATTGGCAATTATAACAAAACAAAGGATATGCAAAATGCCACAAAAATACGGAAATGAGAAAAACATGAATCCAAAATGTTTAACTACCTAGAAATTTTGCGATAAAGAAAGCATCGGAAAATGATAAAATATAGAAAGAAAACGGAAACGGAAAGAAATGCAACAAAAGGAGTATGTATAAACATGCAATAAAAAGGGAAAATAAATTCAAAATCTTAATTTATATTAAAAAGAAATCTGTATAAATTTGGAAATTAATGTATGATTCATTAATGAGAACTGCTGCCAAAAGTAAAATTATCAATTATGGCCTGGAAAGACTGACAACTCCTATAAATGAATATTCATTGAAAAAAATATGTGTACGACCACTTTGAGTTTTATTTGTTAAACTATGAACACTGGACACTTTTAATTTGCAAAACACTCATTTGCAAATCCGCCGCCGCCTCTCCTTAGACCTACAGTGTCGTGTAAATAACCAAAATGTGCGGAATTACATGGGATTCAATAATTTCATTGTTTTTCTGCTGTTATTATTATATATATTTTGTAATTTGATTTAGAAAAACATGGGATTTTCAATATCCCATGGGATAGGGCAAATCCCATGGGATTGACCATTATCCCATGGGATTTTGGTTAAATCCCATAGGATTTTTTTGGGTCCCATGGGATAATTGTAGTCCCATGGGATATTTGTTGTCCCATGGGACAAAAAAAATCCCATGGGACTATAATTATCCCATGGGATTTTTAATATCCCATGGGACAAAATAAAATCCTATGGAATTCAAATTATAAACATACAGTAATGTGTATGTTACAATGAATTCTGTTTGGTAGTAAAAAGTTTATAATATATATATGAGTGTATTTTGGTTTTTTTCATTTTGTCACAAACATGTATTTAATTTGTTTATATGTCAATAAAGATTATTATTATTTTGGGAATATAATAATATTTAAAGTCAAAAAATAAAATCCTTTAACTGAAATAAAATGATGACGTCTTAATAAAAGAAAAAAAATATTGATTTGAACTCTTTGTCTTCTTTGTTTCATTATGAAAAATAGAACTGAAAAAAATATTTCATATTCTGACTGAATAAATTGACAAAGCACAGTTAATAGTTTACTCTTTTCATGAGGTAAAGTTTTCTTTGTTGTAGTTCCATTGCAATACATAAATATGCAAACGATTTGAATCTTATTCCTTTGTGGTGTTCATAATATTACATTTATATTTGTAAATTTATAAAATAAACACTTTTCCTGTTAAGTTTTAGTTTTCTTGTTTCAGCTTGCTATGAACAATTATTCAGTCCACTATATAAGAGTCAAGTAAATAAATTATTTCATCCACTAGAATATTCCTACAATTCTTAGACAAAACACTTTTGCAATCTGTTCTTCAAAAATCTTCCTCCGTACATCTTTATTGGATGGAGCGATTTAAATGAGTGGACAAAGCAAGTTCATTTGGACAACAAAATACTAATATATTTTTTCATTCCTCCCTTCTTTCAATTGATAATTACGTTGTTGCATTTTCATGATTAAGTTCTTGAGCATCTATGATCATGATGATATGACTCCTTTTTGTTTATAGTCATTATGTTGAAATTTCCTCTTTCTTATGTAGGAAAAAAAAACACATTCCATTTCAAATTAATAAAAAAGTCACACTATGTAGAAAAATATCAACTTTAAGTTTGCTGTTCAGTATTGACCTGTTGAATGATGATCATGAAAACCAAGATGTCTGACCTACAAATACACAAAACTCAAAAATTATAAATGAAGAGAAATACAGCAATAAAATGGCTATTTTATCATGTTTATGTACATTTTGATAAAAATTTCATTTGAATATTTAAAATTGTAAGAACTCTTATTTCAGTGCTTTGTGTCTATGGTTTTCATATTAGTTGTTTTGTGTGCCTTGTTGCAGTCTTTTGAGTTAAGCCAATTGCAACAAATGTTTACAGTTGTGCTGTTATTAAAACCACTGTCCCAGGTTAGGGGTGGATTGGGTGCTCACTAAATGTTTATTTTATTAGTTGATATTTGCTTTGAATTAGCTGTCAGTAACTGTGAGTACTAATAGATCTGTATGTTGAGTCTTTTTTGTTAAAGGGAAAGAATAAATTTCCAGCCACATCCGGTCTGTGTTTTTGGTAGCTGTTTTTCTGCTTTGTTGCATTCTAATGAGTTAATAAAATTGAGAATGAAAACGGGAATGTATCAAAATAACCTGACCCAAGAGCAGAAAAAAACCCTTTTCAACTGATTTTATAGTTTTTATATTGAACTGACACTTACACCACTGTCCTTAATTAGAGGAGGATTTGGTGCCAGCAAACATGTTAAACCATGCCACATTTTGTAAGTGTCTGTCCCAAGTCAGGGGTCTATTATTCAGTGGTTGTCAATTGTTGCCATATATCATATTTGTTTTTTGTTTATTGTTTTGTGCAAAAATCAGGCACTTAGCTTTCACCTTTGTGGTGTTTCCCCCAAGCATGTTTAGCATGGATAGACACCATGCCCTTTTTAAATGACGCCATGCCCTTATTGAATTGTTTTACATTTGTTATTTCATGGCCTTTTATGGATTACTATGCAGTATAGGGTTTGCTCATTGTTGAAGGCTGTACAGTGAACTAATTTTGTTAAATTTAATGTCATTTGATCTCTATTGGAGAAAAGTCTCATTGGCAATCGTACCGCTTCTTATTTTTATATCAACCCTGCCATATTTTGCCTGTCATTATTTACAGGTCATCATTGGCCGCTAATAAGTAATTGCATTGCTTACGTCCACTTACATTGACTTAATTGAACTCTGGTGGATAGTTTTCTCATTTATCATACCACATCTTGTTTTCATAATAATCATTATTCAAGGGCAATAACTTTTATATAGAAGTGGACTTACCATTTAGGCTTTGTTGACGTCTGTAAATCTATTTTTGTTGATAATTTCTTTTGTTTATAGTTTCCCTTTATCTTTAATGTTCTTGCCCTACACATAAAAGGGTAAACATTATCATTTAATGACAATAACTACTATTACATAATGAGTAGGCAACTGACAATTTTGGATCATTTGTATCTTGTCTTGCTCATCATTTTTGCTTGATATTATCAATATTCTATGAAAATGAGGTCACAGTAATATTAAACTTGGCAGACAGACATCTTCTTATTTTTATATGACACCTTGCAGTCATTCCATACACCAACAGGTAGACATATGCTTATAATATCTGATAAAATGAATAAAATGCTCCGCTGGGCGCAGCTTGATACGACCGCAGAGGTCGAACCCTGAACAGTTGGGGCAAGTATAGACACAACATTCAAGCTTGATACAGCACTGAATTTGGATTGTGATTAAATATTTGACACAGCATAGGTTTCTGACACAGAATGAATGTGGTCTAAGAACTTAAAAAATTTTAATTTACCCATTCAAACCATATCGTTATTATTTGCTTTATATATGAATTTAAAATGGAAAATTTTAAATAAAAAAAAAGGAAAAATGGGAAAAAAAAATCCCCCCCAAATTTTTTGAACCCCCTTATGATTCATCACCCCAAAACTCAATAACACCCTTCCCTTTGTGGTATGGTACCTTGCAATACAATTTCAGAGAGATCCATACACTTATACACAAGTTATTGTCTGGAAACTAGAAAAATGCTTGTTTTGTTTGGTCCCTTTTTGGCCCCAAATTCCTAAACGTTTAGGGCAATTACCCCCAAACTCAAACCCAGCTTTCCCTTTGTGATATGGAACCTTGTAGTACAATTTCATAAAGATCCATACACTTACACACAAGTTATTGTCCTGAAACTAGAAAAATGCTTGTTTTTTGCCCCTTTTTGGCCCCTTATTCCTAAAATTTTGAGGCAATTACCCCCAAAATCAATCCCAGCCTTCCCTTTGTGGTATGGTACCTTGCAGTACAATTTCAGAGAGATCCATACACTTGAACACAAGTTATTGTCTGGAAACTAGAAAAATGTTTATTTTTGGCCCCAAATTCCTAAACGTTTAGGGCAATTACCCCCAAACTCAAACCCAGCTTTCCCTTTGTGATATGGAACCTTGTAGTACAATTTCAGAAAGATCCATACACTTACACACAAGTTATTGTCCTGAAACTAGAAAAATTCTTGTTTTTTTGCCCCTTTTTTGGCCCCTTATTCCTAAAATTTTAAAGCAATTGCCCCCAAAATCAATCCCAGCCTTCCCTTTGTGGTATGGTACCTTGCAGTACAATTTAAGAGAGATCCTTACACTTGAACACAAGTTATTGTCTGGAAACTAGAAAAATGCTTATTTTTGGCCCCTTTTTGGCCCCTTATTCCTAAACAGTTGGGCAATTACCCCCAAACTCAATCCCAACCTTCCTTTCGTGGTATTGAACCTTATGGTAAAATTTCATGGAGATGCTTATTTTTGGCCCCTAATTCCTTAACTGTTGGTACCATAACCCCCAAAATCAATCCTTATGGTAAAATTTCATAGAGATCCATTCACTTAAACTAAAGTTAGAGTGCGAAAACCAATGTGTCTAAGGACGACGACAACACCAACGTCATACCAATATATGACGGTCGAATAAAAAACCAAGAAAACTTAGCATTGACCAAAGAACCATAAAATGCGATCATGGTTATATGAATCTGCCAGACAGACATGCACACCTTACAATCGTTACATCCGCCAAATATAATTTACCTGTTGCTTAAAGCATATGATAAACTGACAAAACAATGCAAACTTTTCATTGACCAATGAACCATGAAAATGAGGTCAAGGTCATATAAAACATGCCAGACAGACATGTGCATCTCACAATCATTCCATTTACCAAATATAGGGGCCTTATTCATGTTATTGCTTACAGTATCCGAAAAAAACCACAAAAACTAAACATTGTCCAATGTACTATGAAAATAAAGTCAAGGTAAGATGAAACTTCTCAGTCAGACATATGCACCTTACAATCATTCCATACACCAAATATAGTTGACCTATTGCTAATTTGAAAATAAGAAAATAGAAAAACTGACCAAAAAACAAAAAAATAACATTGAGCAATGAACCATAAAAATGAGGTCAAGGTCGAATAAAACATGCCAGACTAACATGTACATCCTTAAAAATTTTCATACACCAAATATACTTGACATGTTGCATACAGTATTAGAAAAACTGGACATTTTTACCTAGGAATAGTGATGTCATGGACTAGGAAAATTAGTCTGGGGACATAAATTACTGACATCGGACTAAGTATACTAGTAAATTCTGTATCCATGGACTTTTTATACTAGTTATATTTGTCTGACCAGACAATTTATCTCTTACACTAGTTCTCAGAGAGACATGTCACCTTACCTTGACACATTATTCTGACTCTGAACAAACCAGTATTTGCTCTTACTTCTTAATAATACTGCGTGCTTAGGGGAGAAGCAGCAAATACCAACTTTAAAGTCTTTGGTTTTACCCGGTTGGGTTCAAAATAAACAACATTCTGCACGTGAGGTGAACACGCTACCATGAGACCAGGCAGTATAATATAAGGAGTTTACCCAAGATTTAAAGTTTCCAAGTTTTTGCAAAAACTGGATCAAAATCATCATTGAAAAGCAATAACTTTTTAATAAGATTTAAGTTTCTCTTTAATTATTACAGTTTTCGAGATAAAAAGGCAAATTCAAGAAACATGAAGAAAAGAAAAAATGGTTAAAATCTGTATTTAAGGCAACAACTCCTATGAGTCAGCTGCCAGTTTTGATGCAAATGGACAGTAGATTTTTTTTTCAACATTCTGAACATTTCTACCCTTGTCAGATATTGTCTATCTATTTTAGCCTTTTGTAGCTTATTACGCAGTTTAGCTTTTTAGCCCATTGTTGAAATCTGTACGGTGACCTATAATGTTGTTAACTTCTACGTTTTTAGTGTCTGTTGAAGAGCCGTCACATTGGCAATAATACCATATTTGTATATGTTTTTGTCATGTAGGTGTAAGGAGACAACCTTTTGATTTTCTGGTGGGATAAAAAGGGGAGACAGATTTTTTATCACCTGGACTGGTAAGTTTTTCAGGGTTCGTAAGGATAGAAAACCTGGCAAATTGTAACAAACCCCTGTGGTACGACCATATTTGCCAAAGTTGAAGATTAGTCCAAATAATTGTCTTGCAAGGCTATTTTAACTTTTTTCTGGGCAAGTAATAGTCAAAGTTGTGACTGAGTGCGGAAATATGAAGATAGATAGATAGAAAAATTATAAAGGGACATAACTGAAGAACGGTAAAAGTGACGCTACCCAAATTTGAACTTGATCTGAGTTTTGTGGTAATAAGCATTGTGTGTAAGTCTCATAACATTTGGTTGAGGCTAACCTAAGTAGAGAACAGATTCAGCAATTTTTCTATTTGTAAACACGCATAACTCTAGAAAGGTTGTGTATAAGTTTTATAACATTTGGTTGAGAGTCTTGAGACAAACTAAAGTTAGAGAACGGAAACGAAAAATTCAGCAATTTTTATGTTTATAAAGGGACATTACTTAAGAATGGTAAAAGTGTCGCCACCAAATTTCGTACTTAATCTGTATTATGTAGTAATAAGCATTGTGTATAAGTTTCATAACATTTGGTTGAGGCAAACTAAAGTTAGAAAACGGAAACAAAAAATTTGTACTTGATCTAAGTTTTGTGGTAATGAATATTGGGTATAGGTTTCATAATGTTTGGTTGGGGCAAACTTAAGTTACAGAAAGGAAACTAAAAATTTGCAATCTTTCAATTTATAAAGGGGCATAACTCAATAATGGTTAAAGTGACACTACCCAAATTCAACTTGATCTGTGTTTTATCAGTGGAAGTCAAAATTAAACATTGCATTGTATAAAGCATTGATTGTAGTTGATTCAACTATAATAATGGACAAAGGAAGATAATTCCAATTTTAAAAATTACTTGATATTTAGAAGAAAATAAAAATTTTGCAATTTTTCCATTTATAAAGGGGCATAACTCTAGAAAGGTTAAAGTAACGCCACCAATATTCAAACTTGATCTGTGTTTTGTGGAAATAAGCATTTTGTATAAGTTTTATAACATTTGGTTGAGGCAAACTTAAGTTAGAGAACGGAAACTAAAAATTTTGCAATTTTTCCATTTATAAAGGGGCATAACTCTAGAACGGTTAAAGTGACACCACCAAAATTCAAACTTGATCTGTGTTTTGTGGTAATAAGCATTGTGTATAAGTTTTATAACATTTGGTTGAGGCAAACTTAAGTTAGAGAACGGAAACTAAAAATTATGCAATTTTTCCATTTTTAAAGGGGCATAACTCTAGAACGGTTAAAGTGACGCCACCAAAATTCAAACTTGATCTGTGTTTTGTGGTAATAAGCATTGTGTATAAGTTTTTACTTTAACATTTGGTTAAGGCAAACTCAAGTTAGAGAACAGAAACCAATTTTGGGACGTACGGACGTATGTACGTACAGACGGACAAGGGTAAAACTTAATGCCCCCACCGCTACGGCGGGGGCATAAAAAAAATAAAATAGCCTTGCTAGACGTCATAATTATTTGGACTACCAAAATATGTAACTTATTCTTACTTGTTTGGGGAAGAGGGGATTCACCTAACCACTATTCAATCTAAATCAGTGAACTGAATTATTGTCTTTTGCAGTAGTCCGAGTCGACATCTGTAACTAATCATGCAAATTGATAGTCAACATTATACCTTTTTCAGAATGTCAGTTCACAAAGAATCACTGGTGATAGGGGAGTGTAACCGATAAATTGATCCTGAATCAGATAAGATTTTCCAAGGACGTATACTAGTAACTAACACAATACGTCCTTGGGTTTTCCCAGTAACGGAGAACCCCTTTCTTTGAGTGAATATAAATAGTGACGGGGGTCTCACAAATAAATTTAAATCTGAATTACAGGAACATCGATTAGCAAAGTAAACTTACATATTAATCTCGAAGTTATTTACGGTAAAGACAGACTGTGCTCCTGAATTAAGGTATTATACATTTGTGTATTTTACTCGGGGGGGGGGGGGGGGGAGGGGGGGGCGGGGCACTTCCTATATACAAGGTGATAGGACGTGCCGCTGGAATAGGTCACTTTTTCCAGCTTGAAAATATGGGAATAGGTGGGGAAAACTATCAGAAATATATGATAAGGTCGATAAAGTTCCAATTACTTGTATATGGAAAGCCCTTTCATTTTTTCACAGCCGAAAGTCTCGCCGTAAGTAAACATTACATACAGAATCTTAGCCTTAAATATTCCACTTTTCCAGCACACCCCACGAAAACCTATATACAAGGTGATAGGACGTGCCGCTGAAATAGGTCACTTTTTCCAGCTTGAAAATATGGGAATAGGTGGGGAAAACTATCAGAAATATATGATAAGGTCGATAAAGTTCCAATTACTTGTATATGGAAAGCCCTTTCATTTTTTCACAGCCGAAAGTCTCGCCGTAAGTAAACATTACATACAGAATCTTAGCCTTAAATATTCCACTTTTCCAGCACACCCCACGAAAACCAATTAACCAACTAATAAATTACAATTTTACCCACGCAATATATGAAAAGGTATACATTTTTAAGATCTAAATTATATGAATAGGGTGGGGTAACAGAACCCCAGCGACACCCCCTATCAATTAAGTATTGAAGTGCCCCTCTTGACATTGTCAAATCCGACCTGCCACTTTGCAACCTGACCTGCAAAAACATAATTCGACTAAAAACAATGCCAGTCAAAATTGCTTTTTGAGACTGGGCGACTGAAAAAGTTTTAAAATGTGACCTTGTGATCCTATACTTGGAATTCTTCATTCATCGGCGTGTGTCGGTTTGGCTAAAAAGGGGGCATTGTTTTTTTTTTTCTTGGGACAAAAAATTGTTTCTATCTTTATTAAAAAAAAAAATTAAGACCAATCATAAACTTTTTTTTCAAAACTCAGTGTCGTATTTTATTGTTTTCCCAACAATTTTTAATAAAAGCTTAAAATGTTTGTTTCACTTCCCTCTGACTTCCCTCCTGATTTTTTTTCTCAAGAAATTATAGAATCAGTAAATGGATATATATATATATGTCTGTGGTCACCGTCATGCACTTAGATAAGAAATTCCAGCATGCATCATCAAATAATTCATGTGTATTTGTGACATCAACATGACTGAAACATTATATTATTTTCCAGTAATTATGTTAATCATTTTGATTTACAATTATATATGTCTGGGACTTATGCATGTATATATCTCACAGGCACTTGTCTCAGAAAAAAAAATTCTATATACTTTAATAAAAGTATATAGGAACAAAATTCTGAGACAAGTGCCTGTGATATATCTGTCAGTCCCAGAATAATAAATATAATTGTATCTTAATCTTTGGAAAAATCCGATTATTAAATTGTTAAATTCTTTTACGTCATAATTATATCAAAGTATACTTTTTAAAGTTTTAAATTTTAAAGTTAAAATGAATATTCCGTTTTGATCTGAGGAAAAACTTTTTAAACTGTAATGACATGGTCAGTCAACTGATTTGTTGCATGGCTGATTACAGGTAATTAAAGCATGCAGTAATTTTCCATTACGACAGTGCGTGTACCCTGGGGTGTGTATAACGTATTAGAAATATCATAGTTTTCTAGAGAACATCCTGTCTATGTGTAATACAGATTGATGACATTACACAAAATTTTTTTCGTTAAATGTAGTTAAGTATCTGTGTCCATTCCCTATTGCAACACTACAATTCTTTCGAAGAAAAAAATGTTAAAATTTATTAAAAAAAAAATCATTTATATAAAATAAAGAAGAAAAAAGCAGCAAATAAACTTAAGTAACTACGCATTGAGTAAACATAATTTCACTTTACATGTACAAACCCTTGAGAAAACGTATATATAGATGTGTTTAAAAAGGCCAATTCCCAGTGGATTTATTTCACACTAGGACCACAGGCACTTGTGTTAGAATTTTGTTTCCTATATACCTTAATACAGGGACTTTCTATACTATCTTAGTATAGAATGTAGGACAGAAAGTCACAGGACAAAAAGTCACAGACAAAAAGTCACGGACAAAAAGTCACAGGACAAAAAGTCACAATTCAGTTCTGAGATTATTTTTCTTTAAACAAGAAAACACTAATTTAAAAAATTTAATTTTTGTTTTTTCTTGAACTATTATATATGAAGCACCTTTGTAATTAAAATTTATTCAATAAATATCAAAATGATCAAATAATTGTTATGAAAACAAAATGTCAAAGTGGCTTGGTACTTAAATGGCTTCATTGTGCCAAGAAATATATCCTTTTCATGATTAAAATTTAATAAATTTCCATTTATCAAGGCTTATGAACAATTTCCTAAACTTAAAAATGAATATATGTAATAAAAAGAAAATATTTCAAGATCTTTCTCTTATATATTCAAACAATTGTCAACAAATTATTTGTGACTTTTTGTCCTATCAAATTTGTGACTTTATGTCCTGTGACTTTTTGTCCTGTGACTTTCTGTCCGTTTACCTTTCTGAATCGTATAGAAAGTCCCTGCTTAATATAACATTAAAAGTATATAGGAAATTTTTTTTCTGAGACAAGTGCCTGTGACTAGGAACTAAGATAACTAGAACTAAGTTCATTGGAAAGTCTTTTTGTCTGATACATGTATACCTATAGATAATGTACATAATTAAGAACAGCTTCAAATATATGCCTATAAATTAACGGTACGTCTAAAAACCGCTCAGGACCTCCTGGGTGCAGACAGGACATAAAAAGTCACTCAGGACATGTATATATGTTTTAGTGAGCGATGAGGGTAAACATTCGATAGATAATTTAATATTTGATCTTATAATTTTGGTTTTGATAAAATCAAACCAACATTAAAGAAGTTATTTGGGATACGTCATGCATGACCGATGATCATATTCAATACCAATCATCATTTTGATTACGACGTGTGATCTTTTATAATTAGGACTGATTGGTGATGGTTATAAACACATACAAGTAAACTTTGCAAACAAACAAAAAAAAACGTTTCCTTGGAAAAATTATAAAAATACATGAATATTGTTTTTACAAAAAAAGTTAAATAAATTTTTCGTTTTGTATGTAATAATTGAAGCCATTTAGAAATATAAGAAATCTTCACATAGTCAAGAAATTTTCAATTCAAGTTATTTCATTTGAAAACGTTAACAAATATAGATCTTATTCGATGTAAAATGTGGCGTCCTTGGAGATCAAAACCCCGTTTAAATAGGGTTTGTCTACTTTCGTCTATTGCCGAACATTCTATAATCAAGGATTTTTACAAATCCTTGCTATAATATAATGAATCGCGTCGCCAATATCACCACAATTACATAAAGTACAAATACAATCTTCTCCTTAATATTTGGCATCCAACAATTACAATAGGAAATTTTGAGTCGAAACTGAAGTACCAAATCTACAAAAAGAATCACTATTTTTTGTAGTAGTAGGCGTTGAAAACAAAACTGTATATAATCTTTTTTCTCCTAAATTAATTGAAACTCCTGAAATAATTCAACATTATCTTTAGACAGCTTACATATGCAAATCTTTTTAGAAGTATGTGAGTGTATAGTAATAATTTGTTCATTAACCCCCCTTTTTCCTTCTATAAAATTACATTGTAATCGATTTTATTTCCAAATTTGTGTTTGCTAGGATTGACACTTAGAACGTACAACAAAAAGTAACAAGTAAAAAGTCACGACTCAGTTTTGGGATATTTTTTTCTTTGAATAAACTTAATTTTAAAAACGTTTCAGTATTTTTCTGAAACATTTTTAAAAGGAAACGGACTTGTAAACAAAATTTATTTTTGAATATTAATATGAACAATGATTGTTAAGAAAACAATCTGCCAAAGTGGTTTGGTAATTAATTGAAGTCATGCTGTCAAAAATGTCTCCTTTTTATAAGTTATTGATAAAAAAAACTATTTGAAGGCGAATTAATCATTTCCTCAACTAAATATATTTATCTATAAATAAAGTCAATTCGTCAAGAACTTTCTCTCATATTTTTAAACAATTGTAAAATAATTAATTTAAACCTTTGTCCTGCGACTTTCTGTCCGTTTACCAATAAACATTCCTTGTTAAGTTTTTTCATATCCATTTACGAATACCAGAGACATATAATATGTCTCTGCGAATACTTATAACGTGACAATTAATTTTTCCTGATGCTTTTTATCCTATTTTCATATCAAACAACCATGTTACCCGTAGAACGGAGTTAAGTACAAATTTAGGAATTTAGTACTTAAAATTTTCAACAACAAAATTTTACACTTTCATTAACCTGGATTTTTTTCTACGCTTCGAAGCCGCCACCCTGTATCAAACTTATCCAACACCTGGCATGGCGTATTCACGATGTGGAGGGATTGACAATATACAATCAAAGTTAGCAATATACAGCAAGTAAGTAATTGGGTGTTGAATGCCAGTAGATCTGAATTTGTAAATTTTTAAATTGAATTTAACCTGTTTAGAATGTGTATTGTTGAATTGTTCAATAAAATTACACACATAATCTGGGCTGATATGCATAAAACCACTTTAAGTTCAAGGTATCAATAAAACTGGGTCTGCATGAAAAAATGACTTATCACATAATACCAGAACCTATGTTTAGCCTACTGTTACACGATAAGAAAATATAGCTGAAGGCCTTGTTGAAAATCTTTACAAATTATTTATTCTTTTAATTTCTGTTTGACTGTCTGGGTGCTTCTTATGTG